AATAATTAGTATTATTACTATTACTATTACTATTACTATTACTATTACTATTACTATTAATAATTGTATTTATACCCCGCCTATCTAGTCATTTCGACCACTCTAGGCGGAAGAAGGAAGCAACTAGTGATGACTGCCAACTAGACCACATTGTAATTTGTCTCCAAAGAAGTAATTTGCTTGTTTAAATCATTCAGTTACTCGTCCCACCCCAAATATTGAATTGTAGCATTTGCCGGAGAAACATGCTGAATCAAGTTTCTGGAAGGAAGGATTTCTTCTGTTTCAGAACAAGAAAATCTCAGGTCTTTAAGGCCACAGGATAACAGTTTGTTTAGTAGATAGAATTAGGGCCATATTTTGGAGAATGGACCTTCAGTTCTCTGCACAGCTTTCTGCCCTCTATGTATTGTTTTTGGCTACTGACGATTTCTCTCTTCTTCATGTTCAACTGTTTTGCTAAAAAGGCAGTGTGGCAATGGTGACTTACGTTCTTGCTTGAAAAATCTGTTTTTTCTGTATTTCGGGGAGGAAACTATCAATAAAAATAATTCCCTTGGCAAAATTTGTATCAAGGAAAAAATACTGTTTTAAGAGCACATAGTCCTTCCTGTCTTATAGGTACAGTGGTGCCTCGTTTAGCGACGTTAATCCATGCAGGAAAAACGTCGCTAAACAATTTAATAGCTAAACGATTTTTAAAAGCCCATAGGAACACATTGAAACGCGTTTAATGCATTCTTATGGGCTAAAAACTTAACTGTAAGCGAAAATTCTCCATAGCGGTGGCCATTTTGGGTGCTTCTAAAGTGAGGCAAAACAGCGGTCGCCATTTTGTTTTTCCGATGGCCATTTTGGAACCACCGATCAGCTGTTAAAAAATGGGTGCTTTGCCATGATCGCATCCCTGCAATCATCGCAAAACGATTTTTACCCATAGGGGCCATCGCTAAACGATCACTCTGACGATGGCAAAAAGTCCATCACTAAGCAATTTTGCCGTAAAACAGCGATCGTTAAGTGAGGCACCACTGTATATGTTATGTTAGCCAGACTTCCTGGCTAACATAACAGTACATTTTTTAAAAGCCCATAGGAACACATTGAAATGCGTTAAATGCATTCTTATGGGGTAAAAACTTACCTGTAAGTATCGTTAAGTGAGGCACCAGGCCATTTTGGGTGCTTCTAAAGTGAGGCAAAACAGCGGTCGCCATTTTGTTTTTCCGATGGCCATTTTGGAACCACCGATCAGCTGTTAAAAAATGGGTGCTTTGCCATGATCGCATCCCTGCAATCATCGCAAAACGATTTTTACCCATAGGGGCCATCGCTAAATGATCACTCTGGCGATGGCAAAAAGTCCATCGCTAAGCGATTTCGCCGTAAAACGGAGCGATTGTTAAGCGAGGCACCACTGTATATGTTATGTTAGCCAGACTTCCTCTTTCTGCTTTAGAAGTACATGATTTCCCATTGATATACCTAGTTGCTGTTAAACTTTTGTCAAGTATGTTGGATTTAGCTTTGTCTGCTTAATGTGCTCTAAAGTAACCGTTCCAGATTCCATCTATTTTTCTTCAATTTGCTTCCTATACAACCTTTACTCACCAGTCTGAATACAGCATTATGCCTCCTGTTGGGGTCTGCAAAAAATAAGGTTTTGGATGGTTCCAGTGCATTTCCACAGTTAGTGTTGGTGCAGAATCTGTGGAAATTTTCAGTGTCTTCAAGTTAGAGAAACTCCAGAGTCCTCTTTCCTCTTGAGCAGAAGCACAATTGTTTTGGTTGCTCAGATTTTATGGTGTTTCAGGTAACAACTACAGCAGCATTGTTGTGAAATTCCTGTATAAGCTGCTAGTTGATCAAACTAAACTGTTCTTACAATTGCCTAGATTTTCCTTTACTTTTTCATTCCTCTTTCCAAATGTGTATCTCCTCTCCTTTATTCATATGTCCGTATTTGCAAATAGTTTCCAAGCCCCTGCTTCAGATGTCTGTGATGATAGTTTTGTCTGCCTTGAGTTTCTATCCTGTTGTTGCTGCAGAAGTTGTGTGTTAGGAAAGAAAATGTGCAGCCTAGCAGAATAGAGATGGAAAGTCGAGAGAGTGACAGTCCAGGATAGTTTCCATAAAAGTTGCCTATAATCACAAGGGGTTGGATTCAGACCTCAGCTCATGCCTTTGAATATAGTGAACATGCAACTAAATTTAGTTTTGCCAAACCAATGGAACTGATAAACAAAAGCAGTTCCTTATAAACCCCCATGTGGCAGCATGTAGCCCTAAGGTTTTAACAATAATCTTGTGATGTAATTCTGTCTCAGACAATGGATAACAAGACAGGTGTCTTGGAACGGAATTCCACAGTGGAGAACAGCCTCTCTGCAAAGCTGACACATTTATGTACTTGCTACTTTGTAGTTCATTTTATGATCTGTCTATATTAGACAATCTTATACTGAAAAATTGTAATGTAGCTATTTCTCATGTACGGATTGGCTATTTTCATTCAGTCTGTATTCTGTCCAATACCTGTGTTCTCCTAAAGAAACCTGCATGTAATTCGAGATATATGCAGACTAAACTCTCCAGCCTTTCCTGAGATCACATCACAGTGGCTGAGGGTGTACTCATATAACTTTTGGCTGCAGGGTGTGCCATGTGTGCACCAATTCACACAGGTTCTTTGCATGGATATGTAGGTGGGAGAGAGTTACTTGGACATGATAAACAGCCAGCTTGCCAAGTGTGCTAAGACCTTCAGTTGCTTGCAAACAATTTGGTCCCAAATTGGTGTTGTGAGAATTAGATTCTTAATTTTATTCAAAACCTAGTAAATGAATTAAACTTTATCTTGGTGCAGGTATGTTTTACTGCAATGTCTTCTGATGTTGTGTGTTTTCATTCCAACAGTGCACGTTCGAAGGTTGTGGCAAACGCTTTTCACTGGACTTCAATTTACGCACACATGTGCGAATTCATACTGGAGACAGGCCCTATGTGTGCCCTTTTGATGGCTGTAATAAGAAGTTTGCGCAGTCAACTAACCTGAAATCTCACATCTTAACACACGCTAAGGCCAAAAACAACCAGTGAAACTCTGCAAGAAGAAAGCTAATGAACTCGAAACATCTTACCTTACAGGAGAATGGTTGAAAATGAATAAGCCTCCCTCTTTGTATATTGTTTCTAGGAAAGAATTAAAAAAACACAAAAAAATAAGAATCCTACATGCCTAAAGGACTTGTTTTTGATAAAGTAGCAAAATAAACTTTACTTCAGCATTGCTACAATGCTCGATTTTGCTCTGTAATTTGGTTTCAAGAGCATGGTGTTTTGTAAAGCGTGGCCCCACCTGGAGGAGGCAGACAGTTCATGGACTTGCATCAAAGACAGTTCTTTCTACAACAGTGCTAAAATTGGACTTTTCACATTGTTATAAATATGAAGCTCACCTGTTGCTTACGATTTTTTAATTTTGTATTTTCCAAGTGTGCATATTGTACACTTTTTGGGGATATGCTTAGTAATGCTATGTGTGATTTTTTTCTGGAGGTTGATAACTTTGCTTGCAGTAGATTTTCTTTAAAAGAATGGGCAGTTACATGCATACTTCAAAAGTATTTTCCTGTAAAGAGAAAAAAAAGTTATATAGGTTTCGTTTGCTATCTTAATTTTTTGGTTGTATTCTTTGATGTTAACACATTTTGTATAATTGTATCGTATAGCTGTAATGAAATCATGTAGTAAAAATATTAGATGTGATTTAATAGTGTTAATCAACTTAAACCCATTTTAGTCACTTTTTTTTGGGAAAAATACTGCCAGATGCCGATGTTCCGTGTACCTTCTCTTTGCCTGTTCAGTTAAGGAAAGTGGTGCTCAGTTGTAGAATGTATTGTACAGGCGCTGACCTTTTAACAACACCCAGTATGTACATCCCATGTAATGGAGTGGGCAACAATAAACCAGTGGTCCTGAAGAAAGAATATGGCAGAAAATTATCTGTAAGCACAGCCTATTTTCTTCTGTTGTCCAGAACAAATTATAGTTCTTTAACCTCCCAGAAATTGGAAGATAAATAAAATTCAAGTTACATTTACTTTTTTATTTGCATTCAATTAGGGTTGTTTCTTTTAAAAATGTAATTGGTGTAATCCTTAGGACAGTTTTAAAGCCACTACCTTTTTAACAGATCTGAAGAATATGGACCAGCATCTGAGTATGTCTGCTTGATCCATTGCTTCTGTCAGCGGAATTAAGACTTTCATCGCTCCTGTAGCCCTCTTTGGCACCCCATCCTGCTGGGGAGGGTGTTCCCAGCCTTGTGACAGAGGTTTTCAGGGCCATAAAGGACGGAAGTCTATGTGTTGGGCTGCCATTTCTGCTGGTCTAGATGTCAATTAATCAAACAGAGAAAATAAGGTATTCACCCTGGTCAGCTATGGTATTTATAGATATTTTAACTGGCAGTGATTTATACCCACAATCTTGGACGCTACTGAATATCACTTTTGCAACAATCAAGTGATGGAACAAGATGGTTGATGAAATTCTGCTGTTTTGTTCTGTTCTTGCAGGGTGAGGTAATCTAGAGGTACTGTTCTGAAGAAAAGTTGAGACATAAATAAAAGTTTATAAATTTTAAAAAAGTTAACAGTGCTTGCACCTGTTGGTGTGAGGTGGGTGTGGCAGGGTGCTGAGCATATTAATAGTAACATCAGAATGCCAGAGTAACTTTTTCTTTGTTCCAGCCATTCAGCTCTTGTTTATAAGGAGTCTGTAAAGTAGGATGATCCTTATTCACAGGATAACAAATGGTGACAGTTCTGAGAAACAGCATTTTGCATTGGAGATCAAGCAGTTGTGTCTTCATTCCTGCATATGTACTATTGTTTCTGCCATGTGTGCAGGGTGACTTTCTGGACTGGAGAGTCACTGCTATCTGAGAACTGTACTGTACCCTGTTTTCCCAAGATCCAAACTTGCATGGAAAAATACCAAATATATGTCAGCTTTTATTTGTTTTTCTCGCTGTAGAACCACAGGTGGGGCTGACATGCATCCTGGCTGAAGAATGACTGAACAGGACTACTTTTCCCAGCCTACGTTTGCAACCAAAAAGGCTAAACATTTATTTTTCATTTTAATAAGAAGTGGGAGTTTTTCAGGAAGTTAAATTCCTGAAAAGAACAAGAGCCATGAGGGTTGGTTTCTTTGAGTCAATAGATTAAAAGCTTGTAAATACAATCCCTTGCCATAAGGAATTATTTTAAAGCAACATCATTCTTTTCCACTGTAGAATAGTGGTCCCCAACCATTATTTTAAAGCAACATCATTCTTTTCCAGTGTAGAATAGTCCCCAACTTTGGATAACCCAGGTATTAGACTGCAGTTCCCAGAAGCCTTCATCATCAGCTATGCTGATCAGGGTTTCTGGGAGTTGCAGTCCAAGAGCACCCAAGGTTGGGAATCACTGCCATTCCCCTACCATTGCTACTTCCTTGCACTGCACGAATAAAAAGAAATCTTAGCTCATGCAAATACCACATAGCATATGCATCAATTGCATCCAGGCAAGTTTGGCTAACAGTGGGACACATAGACTCTTTGTGCTACTGGTGTGCCCAGTGCCATTTCATATGGGAGTTGGAGGGAAGCACACCAGTGTTGCATGTAACTGTCTCAGCCAGGATGGTAAAGAAATGCTGGATTCCATGGATCAGGCTTGGGTGTTGGCAGTTGAGAATAAAGTCATTGCAAGGGAACCCAGAAGTGGTTAGATCAGAAATGGCACCTGATGTTTTGGGGGAAGTGTGCCCACTAATGGAAGCTGTTCCAGGGTCCTGTCAAGACAGACTTTGCTCTTGTTCTTTTAAAGCTGTGTGTGCAACAGCAAAAACTTGAGTATAAATATACCAGATGGGCGGGATATAAATCAAATAAATAAATAAATATTGTAAAGAAGGCAGTCATCTTGCTGACAGCACACAGTGCAGCATGCCAGAATTGATAATGGTCATGCTCAGGTTCATTACGTAGTATAAAGTTTTTCCCTCCTGCTTTGCACATTGCTGTATCATAAGATTTTTTTGGCCTTTGAACTTGTACCAAGTTATCTTTAACTGTATCTATGCCTAATGTGGCATTGGGCGCTTTGTCAATAATGAAGACTATACACACTGTACCACATAGCAAACACTGACAGCTTCATTTTATGGGATAGCGTTTCAATTTGTAAAGCTAATCAATTTTTGTAAATGGTGAAAGAAAAAAAGACAAGTGGGGCTCTCATTTCTGTTAGGACTTTTTGTTCACCTTTCTGTGCTGTGCTTCTGAAGGTAGTGCTTTAAATACTTTGCTCATTGGTTCAGTCTGTCACAGATAAAGAGCTTGCTTTAATCAGCCGTGAAAGAGCAAAAGATAACTTATTTAGTTCCTCGCCATCAGCAGTGTTTGCCTCTGTCCCCTGAAACCTCCACAGGCTGAACTTGATGCTGAAATATGTTATCTGCTGGTGCTTATTTCAATGTTCCTTTAAAAAAAATGAAAATGTGGAAAAGCAGCAGTATTATGTATTGTTCCTAACTGGATACCTAAATGGTTGCACTGAAATACTGATTTGCATATGCTTCTGTTATTAATTGTCCCTTCTATAGACCAAACAAACCTCTGATAATTTACATTACAATAGAGGTAGCTTGCGGCAGCATGCCAGCCAGAATCAAATTGGATGACCTCACCTGTGGCCACTTTGGGGAAATTAATCATTTACCATTCCCTTCCCCTTCCAGGTACAGGGGATCCCTAGGGATCCCTTTGGATTTTGGGGAAGCCTTTAGGAGCCACGGAACAGGCGGGGTGCCCTTTATTGCCTGAATGTTGTTGCTGCTAGTCCTAGTCCCACTGCTGGGACTGGCCGTGGCAATTTTAAGATATTAAAGAGTACATCATACTACACTCGTTCCACAGCTCCAGAAAGTTTTCCCAGAACCAAAGGATCCCCCTGAATCCCTCATTTTGACAAATGTAAGAGACATGGATCAACTATTATCATCCAACGGTTGTCACCTTCATTCATCTTGTATACATAAAACTGCCTCATTGATATTCCAACAGGCCACTGCCCCACTTTGTCCCCTCCCTCTTTCCAAACCACTGCTGGTTTGGGTCTCACATTCCTACTGGCCCACCTCACATCCTTGCCTAGCAGCCAGCTTCCTCTTTCCCCTTTCTGCCATGGCCATGTATGTATGTTCTTGCCCAGCCAGATGGGGAAAACCAAACCAAAAGGCTATGAAAGACACACTTATTTTCATGGCAAATGAAAGAAGATGTAAAAACAGGAGTTCCCCTTGAACAAATAATTGTGCTGACAAGTCAATTTTGACATGGTGACCCTATTCTGTGTTTTCAGGTAGAAAATACTCAGAACTGTAATATTCTTAGGATGCCCTTGAACTGTGCAGCTTGCCCAAGTCCACACAGGAAAGCAGTGGGGAATTGAACTTCCAACCTCTGGCTCACCTAAACCTAAACCACGTAAAGAAACTCCACCAGAAATGAAAGTTCAACCATGCATGATTATTCTCCTGATTCTTTGTTCAGGAACCCATCGTCTGATCACCAAGGACTGGCATGCATTGTGGCTTGCAAAGATGGTTTTGGAGGTCTGCAAATGGTGTGCCATCCAGACAATGGACTGCAAGTGCCACTACCCTCCCCTCAAGCGCTGACCATAGAAACTCTTATCTGGGATATTTAGCTTGCTCCTGGCTGTATGGCATTGTGTATTTGTGTCAGAGAGTCATTGTATAACTACTGCCACGTGACACTTCCTGTAGCTCTACTTTTCATCTGGATTTTGAAGGATCAAGGTGTCCCATGGTTTACTTTTTTTTAAAAAAGATTTTATTTTTCTTGAGTTGTGTACAATAGTTACAGAATACTGTACAAAAAGGGATTGTTGACATTGTTCTGTATTGCGCATGAACAGTTCAGGTAGAGATTTCACATTCAGTTGTATATCCCAGCGAGCAGGCACTGAAACATACAGTATACCTGCAAAGTGTAGAAGCAGTGAACCAGTTTTACCGGTTTTCCCAGCATATTTGCTAAAATGATCTTAGCTGGCTAGATTCTCCATGAAAGACTAACCAGGCCTATTGCACCTGTCCCAAATGAAAAGTGTAACATAACCTAAGGATCCTCAGCTTGTGGTAATAAAACTGCAGTGGATGCCCTTGAAGGCAGTGGAATCCATATTGGAAGGCGGTTCTCAAGTCAAAAAGTCTGTAAGTCAAGTCTCCATTGACCTACAGTGCATTGAAAACCGATTAATCCCGTAACAGGCTGTTTTTGTTCCATTTTGGTTTTTTTCTGCTCTGTAAGTCAAATCTCAGTCTGCAAGTCCAACCTAAATTTTGCAGCCAGAGAAGTCTGTAACTCAAAAAGTCTGTAAGTCAAGGGTCCACTGTACACCAGCATAAATTCTTCCTTATTCCTCACATGTGACGTTTAACACCTGACTTCCATTTCCATATTTATGCAACTTAGCTGGCCCATTTGGTGCCTGTGCATGTCTTGGACTTCAATTTCCACTGGCCAGGCTCACCAGAACCTATGGGATTTAAAACCCGTTCCATTTGGAAGGCACCATATTGGGGCAGGTTGATTTCAAACATGGGCTTTCATCTGACACACGGGTACCACCAGCTGGTTGGGGCCCTAAATAAATGGAAGGTGACATGCTTATTACATGCCACAATTTTCTTATGCAAGTCTTAACAGAACACAGCAGCAAAAAAGCAAAAGCAAAATAACAAAATACGTGCAGAGGGAAAAATATTTCATGGAAAAAAGATTTAGTAGATTCCACAAAGCTGATCTGTGAAGAATAAGCTGGGTCTGATACATTCAGACTCAAGCTGTCCTAATGTGAACCCCTCCATGAGTTAATACAAAGTCCAAGGGAATAAATATTAACTTACAAAGATCTCCCTGCAGTCACCTGATAAACTGGTATTTTCTACTGCTTTGCCAAGTGGTAAGGAGAATCTCGTCACTGTTCTGCCTCCCCAGCATTTCTAATCAGGCTAGCTCCAGTGTTGTTGGCACCTCATTCTGGAATACTTAAGCTGCATCTTTTCAAGGAGTATCTGGCAAATGACACATTGATTCCTGCTTTTCTCTTCAAGAGTTCTACAACCGTTTGCAGGCTGTCTTGCGTAGGTACAAGTGACATTCCCATGGAAGCCCTGATTAGGTCTTCAGAAATTGGGTAGACTAAACACACAAGGCCAAGCATGCCAACCTCCCCACAACAGCAAAGAATGCCTTGGAGTCTTGAACCATGGGGAGAAACTCCATGAACAAGCTCTTCAGAATGTCTCCAACGTGAAGGTATGTTTGACCAGCAACTCCCACTGGTCCTTTCCAGCATAACCAACAGAGATGGAGAATGGGAGTTGGAGTCCAATGGCATTGGGAAGACCACATCTGCCTAGTAGAGAAGCACTCTTGGGACATTCTACCTTGACCAACCTTGGTTAGTACCTTGACTTTGGGGAGGTTGAGGCACTTCTTGCTGCTCCACCTCAGGCAATGAAATGTCTTGAATTGGCTCTGGGTGACACTAGTTACTGCCTCACAACATACATTTTATATGTTTCAGACCTTATGTCAAGTGAAGAATGGTAAAACAAAAAGCACCCTCATCAGGTAGGAGGGAACAGATGATTGGCTCATTAATACACGTGATTACAGGCAAACATTTTTAATGTTGCCATCTGGTCAACATTAAAATCTGGTGTCTTTATAAACCTTAGGTGGCCCTTCAGAATTAAGTCCCACTGGAATTCAATAAAACATATACCCAGACAAGTGTCTATAAAATTGTAGCCAAAACCTTTCTTACTGAAGGCCTATTAATATTCTAGTTAATATCTTTGGATTTAAACAAGTTCTCGATCCCAATGAGATCAGATCACCTAATGGGCCCATTTAACAAGGCAAAGCTAAGGAATGGGCTGAAGGTTTGTAACCAGCTCTCAAACTCAGCCTGCTTTCCAAACAGCACCGCAACTAAATACATGAAAGAATACAGATGCAAAAACTATACTACATTCACCATGCCCCACCATTCAGCTGAATCCGTTTAAAGACACTTGCATGCCTTAGTTTTGTGTTCAGTACAATTCACTGCTGTGTTAATAACATTCCACCAGATTAAATAAATAACACTCCACCAGATATTCTAAACAGACAGGGTATGCAGCCCTGCACATCTGGTTGGACCACAATACCATCCGCCCTGATTCAAGTCTCTTGTCTGTGGCTGATAGGAGCTGGAGTACAGCAAGATCTGGAAGACTACATGTTTCTAAGCCTTCCCACCACCATCCTACATAATTAAAACAAGCTTCTGGATTGGAAGCACAGTTCTCGTTTTCAACTTGCTATTGGCAGCAACCAGTACCGTAAACTTCACCAAACCATGGAAAGAATTTCCCATGTTCTAAAGTCATGTTAAAATGCAACTGCGTACAATACAATCGAAATGCATAATGGCAGATACAAATGGCAGCAAACCTTGTTTGCCTAAGTTCCTTTCGAATGAACACACACACAAAACCAGAAGCTACCCTTTCCAAGCACAAGAAAGCAGAAAATTTAAAGGAGGAAGAAAATTGATATGCTTAACTGAGAACTGGACATTAAAAAAAAGGATGTCTGTAGGACACATTAGACAGTTCACAGTAAATAAGAGAAAATAAGGTGCTGCTCATGACCAATGCATCACCCTTGACAATAAAATGGCAAGTACTGAACCTACAGATTTAAAGAATGTCTGTAGCAGAGTTGTCTCCTTTTCAAGAAACCTGCTGACCTATACGTGCTTACAACTCCCACTATCCTCAGCCAGCTTGACTAATAGCAATAGCTTATGAGACATGTACTCCAACATCTGGAGGACCACAGGATCTCCTGCTTTAGAGAAATGCAATTTGCTTTTCAAGAGTCGGTTTCCTGAAAATTTTAAATAACAGGGTGCCCTTTATTTATTTATTTAATTTATTTATTTGGCTTTTACCCCGCCAATCAAGATTCAAACCAATCTACTCTGGGCTGCTTACAGTCCGAGCAATATAAAACAAGAATTAAAACAGTCAATATCCAAACAAAAAAGAGAAGTAAGCAAAGTCCAAGATGAGAAAACACAGGGAACTAAGTGATGGAAGGGGTTACCCTTTGGATCCTAGAGTAACCAGTTCTTCCCCAATAGGGTAGCACTGTTCAGATTTCCAGCATTTAGAAAATAATGGAAGGGAAGAATGTGGCTTCAGAGGTTTTGGGGCTATAGTGCCTGTATTTCCCCACTACTGACAATGCTGGCAAGGGCTGAGGGAAGGCATGGGCCAAAAACATCTGGAGGGGACATAGTTGCACACCCCTACCTTAGCTCTACTCTCTCAGTGGACATAGAATCAGACAGGCACTTACCTGGGCTTATGCACATGGACACTCCATAGAACCCTATGCTATCTTGTTCCTTGTTAAAAAAAATATAAGTAGGGCTGACACTGAGTTTAAATGTAAATAAGAGTCCATATGAAGTAGTAGCAGCTAGACCACTATGCACGCAAGGATAGAGTGCACACATGAAAACTGGGGGAGGGGATATCCATTGAGAACATGTTTCTAGGACAGCAAGTCCTTTTATTACCTAAATTGGTAGGATGGGTCTCCTAACAAGGCAATAAACTGCTTTTTTAAAGGAGGTGAAATCCTCAGTCATTAAAAAGAGATTTTATACAGACAAGAAATTGATCGTTTCTATGTACAGATTATTTTTGGTGTGCGTGTGTGTGTGTGTTTTTAAAAGGTCGGTTTGTATCTCAAATATGTAACAGATGCATTTGATTAATCTAAAAACTTGAAGGCTGCTGGATCGCTGGACCAGCCTCGCAAGCGCTTAAATCACCTCTGATCGGGTTGTCTTCTGACCTCATATACATCAGGAACACTGTAACAGTGGCAAAAGTAGCTGCATTAACAGGGAAAGCCCGGAGTAGGGTGGACGTAAGTCCCCTTGTGAAGACCCTCCAGCCTTCGTCATGGTAGCTTTTCCTAACACAGTCCAGGATGCCCTGGTATCGCACAACACCGCCAACGCCATCCGCCTGGAGGCGGGATTTGATCACGTCCACAGGGTACGTCGAGAGCCAGGAGACAATCCCAGACATACCTCCGGCCAAGAGGAGCTTGGGGATGATGTAACTGTCCTCTGCCTCGCACCTGAAGTATCTGGTTAAGCAGTCATAGGTCAAGAAGTAGAAACCAAAGCTGGGCGTCTCTCTCAGGAATGTGGAAACCATGCCCCGGTTGATCCCCTTCAGACCTTCCTTGTGGTAGATCTTTACCAAGCAGTCCAGAGAGTTTTTGTAGTTCTTGGACTTCAGCTTGTATTCGCCCGTGCCCTGCAGCTGCATCCGCGTCTTCGCCAGCTCCATGGGGCAGCAGATGACGCACTGAATGGCGCCCGCTGCCGAACCTGCGAGGAACTGGTTGAGCGGGGTGTCCTTTCCAAGAGCACGGAGCGTGTTCCCTTGAACGCCAAACACAAGGGCGTTAATGAAGGTAAGTCCCATCATAGGTGAACCAATACCTTTGTAAAGTCCAAGGGCCTACGAAAGAGAGCAGGGAACATAAAAGTGATGTGAACAGGCCTGTGAAGAAACATCCTCAACAACCATGAATTAAAAGGTTTCATCCCACCAGGATTCACTTTCAGTGACGTGGGTCACCCTTCCCAAACTGCTCTCCACAGGATTGGGGTTACAACTCTTAGAATTTATGACTGTTTCTCATGACGACTAGAAGAAGGTTTTTTTGGGGTGGGTGGGGAGGGGAGCTATGAAGTGGTGCGTCAACAGGGATCCTGGGAGCTGTATTCCAAAATATGTTGAAGGCATGAGATCACCTACCCTTGGGAAGAGGTTTTGTTAGCATCTTTCCAGGCAGACAGCTAGACAGAACTCTAGAACTACACTGGTGCCTCGCTTAACAGGCACCCCGTTTAACGACGAATCCGCATAGCGATGAAGATTTTGTCCTCCTCTTTGTAGTGGCCACTCAATCCAATTGGCTCAAAAGCGTGAGAGGCAACCCCAAACCAGGCAAGCTGTAAGAATACCACCACGACCATTTCCCTCTGTTATGTCTACTCCACGAGTGGAGTAAGAAGGCTATTTAACAACCAAATACAATGTTTGAAATTATAGCAGCATGGTGTTCTAAGCATTTTATTTTAGCTTGATAGTTAGGGTCTCCTCATTGGCTTTTGAGCCAATTGGATTGAGTGGCCACTGCATAGAAAAGGACACAGTGCCAGGTAGTGGAATAGGCCATTTCAGTTTGCCTCACTCGCATCTCTTGAGGGGATTGGCTAAGAGTGACTAAAATAGGTAAATAGTTCTATTTATTGATACAAACCAATAGATCAGTTTCTATAAAGATAGTCAGTTGTAGAGGAAGAATGTAAGGACAGGCATTTAAAAGGAATAGATTATAAGTAAAACTCTGGACAGAAATTGTTAGGAGTGGTAGGAGAGGTAACATGAGAGCCCAGGATTTTCTACCCAACATCGCACTAACATTTTCAAAGGGGTAGATTTGTGAGCATCTATGTGGTAGTATAATTGGCAATGTCTTGTGGCACCTTATAGGCCAGTGGTTCCCAACCTCAGGTAACCCAGACGTTCTTGGATTACAAATCTCACATACCTTTACCACCAGCTATGCTGGCCAGGGTTCTGGGAGCGCATTCCAAGAACCACCTGGGTTACCTAATATTAGGCAGGACTCTTATAGACTAACAAGCTTTACTGAAGTACAAACTTTCATCAGCTGCCCTGTTTCACAACAGCTAAAATCCTGTTGTTGTTGTTGTTTAGTCATTTAGTCGTGTCAAATTTATGTTGGTAGCTTCAATGACACTGTCCAACCACCTCGTCCTCTGTCGTCCCCTTCTCCTCTTGCCCTCACACTTTCCCAACATCAGGGTCTTTTCCAGGGTGTCTTCTCTTCTCATGAGATGGCCAAAGTACTGGAGCCTCAGCTTCAGGATCTATCCTTCCAGTGAGCACTCATGGTTGATTTCCCTGTTGCTTGCTGTAATAAGTAGCAACTACAACAGGCTCACTGAATCAATGCAGAGGAGTTTACTGAACAAATCCCTGTTGATTTAAGGTGTCACAAACCCTGCTTGTGGTTTGCAATATTTAGCAAGACGCTTCAGAGTAAGATTTTGATCCAATAGTTGTAGCTCACCCTCAGACCAAAGAGACAGAAAAATCAACCACATATGCTGTACCTATTGCAAGACCGGGCAATTGCAAGACTAGACACTGATGAACTCTTGTGGTTCATCGTCTTCCCCTTCGTGCACACTGTGGAATTCCAGACGTCACAGAAAAGAATGCTGAAATGTTCTCTCAGGAGGAACAAATGCCACATCTTGTGGATGCTGGCATCCTATACGAATTGCTGCCCCAGCAAATTGGGCTTTATGAAAATGCACTCCAACAGAGGTCACGGCCCCACTTATTTATTTTAAAGGCTCAGAAGGCAATAAGACACCTGATCAAACTAAAGGCACAATGCCATGCCTGCTCAGAAGTCAGTTCCACTAACTTACTACTTAAGTGAATTGGACTTTTGATGGATGTCAGGCTACAGTGGTGTACACGGAGTACGCCAGTGCCTCCCTCTTGCATCTGAGTCACTTCACATTCACTGCTTGAGCATGCTTTTAAAAGGTAAAGGTTCCCCTTGACAATTTTTGTCCAGTCGTGTTCGACTCTAGGGGGTGGTGCTCATCCCCGTTTCCAACCCATAGAGCCAGCGTTTTGTCCGAAGACAATCTTCCATGGTCACATGGCCAGTGCGACTTAGACACGGAACGCTGTTACCTTCCCACCGAGGTGGTCCCTATTGATCTACTTGCATTTGCATGCTTTCGAACCGCTAGGTTGGCGGGAGCTGGGACAAGCGACGGGCGCTCACTCCGTCGCGTGGATTCGATCTTACGACTGCTTGGTCTTCTGACCCCGCAGCACAGGCTTCTTTGGGTTAGCCCGCAGCGCCACCATGTCCCTTTTAAAACAGTGAGCCAGATTTTGGGAGAAAGAAGGGAAGAGGGGCTGTCATTAGAAGAATGACTGTGCTAAACGTCTCTCTCTCTCTGAACTGCAAAAGGCCAAGCTAGTGAGACAGAGAGTGTGTACACATTATAAGCAATACATTCTGAACAGGATGACCATAAGGACAGGATTTTTTAACCCTTTCCTTATACCATGAATGACAACTGCTCACTAAGGCCAATGACCGCTTTCTTGAAAAGCCAAAGAGAACCTTCATAAACATTGTTATGAGCCCTTCTTACACACCACATCTTAGCTCAGAGTCCCGCGCAGCAGCTACATATTTACAGTTTAAAGAAGATACATTTATTTATTTATTTAATTTATTTACATGCAACGCTAAACTAAACATTCAGAGTTATATACTGTTTGGCCCTTAATTAAGTACCATTTGGGGCAGATTGTTCTACACGACTTAAAAAAAACATTCTCCCTCTTCCCCACAGTCCAAAGTGTCAATTAATAATTGTACACATTACTCGGAATGAGGTGGTTTGTGAAACACCCAACCATGCACATCCATTCAGGACCTGAACTCACCGATTCTTGCTTTATGATAGACTGGAAACAGTGCAAGGTCCCCCGGTACAGTGGCTTCTCCACATTCTGAACTTGAAGGCGCACCTACAAAATGCAGTAAGAATTTATCGACACAGCAAAACTTCAGTAGGCAATATTGACAGTACCATTGGTCTGGGTGCACATGATGTGCCCATGTGCGCACACAGTCATTGCCAACCCACAATAGGCAACTGAAGAGAATGGTCTGTTACTGTGAGAAGCATTCTGTTTGGATGCCAGAGTTCTCACCAAATGGGAGCGGTCACTCAGTAGGGCTCTGAATTAAGATCCTAACTGAATGAGGCAAGCAAACCATTTTCTTTGAATTTGTACGTTCAACAGCCATTGCATCAACTCTGGCTATGCGCAATCTAACTGGTGTACGACATTTGTTAAACCATGAGATATGTACACTGGGGATCTACTATAAAAGTTATGAACAATTAAAAATTTAGAATATGCTAATTCACATTTCTAGACAGTCACTTACCCAGTTGCCCGTGGTGAGTTCTTTGGGCAACCAGGCATAGACATGTCATTTTCCTTTGAAGCCACAATCAATAAAAACAGACTATAATAGAGCTCGTATCTTCCAAACCCATTCAGTACCAGAAGCAAAATAATCTTACGTCCACTTAAATCTTTGCAAGTGACTTCACCACCCCCCGCCCACATTTATATTTTCAAATCCATGTAAAATGTATAGGGTTAGCAAATTTTGTATTAAGGAGCTATTTGGAATTCACACATTTAAAAGAAAGTTGTAAGACTCTTTCAATGCTCAACCAGTACATGTGGTCAGTTTCCCAAATCAAAACAAGTTGCGGCCTGAAAATGCAGGGGTATCTGTAGGGTAACATTTTGTAATGTTTTTGTCCCACTGCAGTTTCTTCATAGGATTCCCATTAAATTACAACCATTCTAAACCTCCCCCCACCCCCAGCTTCTCATCTCTATTGCCAAGCTGAACAGCTTGGGCTGCAACACCTTAAAATCTGAATTCAGACACAAAATAACAATAAATAATTGAAGTGAGAGTGAACTCACAAACCAATCAAGTGGTAATATCTAAAATGCATTAATACAGGCATGGCGGTACATCTCAGGGGAAATGCAACGCCCCCCCCCAATAGATTCCCAATTTAAAGAATGGCTGAAACAGAACATACAACACAAGAGGGGTTTGTTCCACAACATTTGTACATATTATAAGCTTTAAGCACAACGGGGATAAAATATGCAGACTAGGAGAATGAACTGCAAAAGTCAAGTTTAGTTTTAAAAAGCTCATACTCAAAAATTGACCTTACACCCCCCACTCCCTCCATTTCAGGGTGCTTTAAAACATTTTAAAATCTAAAGGGGAAAAAAAAGTGGAAGGGAATAGACTCCATATGGTTTTCCTGGTTACTTTTTGTTTAGAAAACTTGAACTAATCATACATGTTGGAATAAATTAAGACCGAGAGAAACAGAATGTTCACCTGGTCTATACTTACTAGGTAACTCTCCCGTGATGAGGCTTATCTGTCATCTACAACAAAGTAACACTTTTGCTGTTAATGAAGACAGCCCCTAGCTCAAAAAGTAAAGGCAGTTAAGCAACAAAGCAATTGTATACATTACATCAACAAACTGGGGGGAGGGAGAGAAAAAAAAGGAATCGCCACTTGAAAAGGAGGTTCTCGTTAAGAGTCAGTTAAGCATCTTTCGCCTTTTATACGTCCCCCACCACAAGCCCCAGATGCTGACCAGACTGTGCAGCCATTACAGAGTTTCAGAGAGGACAGTGAACTGGGTTTCAACTCTCAAGAGCCTGTTTTTGTTTTTTAAAAAAATATTAAACTTAGCTTCTGGAAAATGTGCTTGCAAACAACCACCGTGACAAAGACTCAGGTAATAGGGCCACCCAGATAAGTCTACTGGACTTGCAGGAAAAGGTTAAATGCACCAATGAAGATATTGGCCTTCAGAAATTGCCCTTTTCACAAGACTAGGTTATTTCCCAGCCAATTAAAATAGATTAGTATAATGCTGCAGCAATTCTATGCACACCTTGGGAAGAGGTGGCACAAAGGGACTGACTTCAAAGAAACATGTATAGGATCACACTGCGAGATTTTCTTAAAGCAGATTTTCCGCTTCCCGTATGATTCGTATTGTCACTGTGCCTTCAGTGTCACAGTCACAAGCCAAGCATTTAAAGAAAATGAATTACATTTATACAGTGGTGCCTCGCAAGACGGTTTTAATTTGTTCTGCGAAAATCGTTGTCTTGTAAAAAAAGTCTTTTTTTTTACAAGAAGATAGGGAATTTAGTTGTCTTGCGAGGCATCGGTCTCAAGGGGGGGGGGAACTGTCTTGCGAAGCACGGCCATAGAAAAAACCATCTTGCGAGGCACTATAGCAATCGCAAAAACTAATCGTCTTGTGGATTAATCGCCCTGCGAGGCAATCGTCTTGCTAGGCATCACTAAAAAGCATTTGCTGAGCAACTATGGTTAATTGAACATGCTTCCAAACAAATGCACTTCTTAGTTGAAGGCATAGCTACGCGTTGAAGCTAAGCAGGTTTGAGTCGAACCAAAGGGAGTTCAACTGAGGAATCCCATAGACCCTGTTTCGGGATCCATTAGACAAGAATAGAAGCAAATTAATGTAACACAACAAAATAATTTGTATTTCAGGATGTCAGACTATGGCTTCAGTCTGTCAGTTACTAAGCTGAAAAGAAGCACAAAGTCTGGGAAACGTTAGCTTTTGCAAGTATACTTTGCTTTTGCAAGTATATTTTACAATATACAGCATGTAGAAGTAAGCGTCTATCTAAGTATTAACTTCAGTATGAAGTAGCACAGGAAGAACTTGAATGGGGTTAAACAAAAATGAATGCAAAGAACGCATGAAAGTAATTTTTAAAAATGCAGCTACAAGCCAACAAGCTTCACACGTCTTCCACTGCACCTTTAAGCACTGAGCTCTTTAAAATTCTTGAATATTACTGGCACATATTTCTTTTCCAAGAAAATGCTTCACATCTTGATGTACAGGTGAGGTGAAATAATTAGATTTAATCCTATTTATTTTGGATTGGACTCTTAGGCACGCAGCCTGATCTGGGCATGTATACTCAGAAGTAACCCCTACACAGTTTGATGAGGCTAACTCCTAAGGAAATGTTCATCTGTTGACACACCAGGTCACCTTATGTCCACATATTCCAGGTGTCTATATACTAGTCCATATGCAGATAAGCCTGGTTTTAGGTGCAACGTCATTTCTGCCAACAAGGATTTTAATTCATTTAATGATCTCTCATCAAAAGCAAAACAAAACGTAAAACCTACTGTAATCTACCATTGCTGTTTAAAGAAGTGCAACCAACGCTAGGTCAGTGTCTCAAACAAGGAAAAGAAAGTTGTCATTTGAGAACTCACAACATCTTTCCTTGGGTGGGAGAGGAAGGAAAACTGTTTCATCATGCAGCAAACAGTCATCTGGGCAATATAATTAACAAGTTAACATAACATTCTCACAAAGCAAACAGAAAAATACATATTAAGCAAAAGCGTCGACTGAAGGTAATGGATTTTTTTTGTTTATTTAGTGTTAGTGCTCAAAGAGCAGCATATTCCTTGGAAATCCAGTAGCAATTTTATTAGATGGTAGTGGATTATTTAATTTAAAAAGTTGGAGACCCAACTTAACTGCACCAATCAAAGGATGCAATGTGACCTGGAATTCTGAATGTTCTTTTTCTCCTGATATTTAAGTGTGAGCTGTTTCAATGCTTCAATGATTGTAAAGCTAATTCATGGTCTCTATATCAAGGTCTGCCAGGATTTATATACAAAGAGTCTGAAATTGGAGGATTTCCCACTCCCCTCCCATTCATGAGGACTAGTGCCATTTTTAGCCTAAAGCGTTTATCGTCAGTAAAATCAACCCACCTTAACAGTGTCAAATGGATGCCCTACTAATACACCAGCAGCACCTGAAATAAAGCAGAAGGTAATTATAAGACTATATGGCATTGCACCATTTTGACTATCACAGACGCCAAAAGCAGCAGCCGTTTCTCAAGCACAGGATAAAACACAACAAATTACAACCAACTGGGATAATGAAGTACTCATAATGAGGTAATGCCAGCAGGGTGGCAATAATAAGCAAAATAGAACTGGGAGCTGATCTGTACAGCCTTTATTAAGGAGAAACTATTTGATCAGAGCAGTCTTCTACACTGGGCAAGTTGGACTACAAGTCCCATACTGGCTCAGGATGATGGCAGTTGGAGGAGCAACGAGGCAAGGAAAGCCCCTAAAGGGCCTAGAATCCCCTGAACAGAACTACATCCACTTCTACTGACATTTTGCTCTGCTTTTTTTTGTCCACAGTAAAAGAGGATGGTAGTCTTTTATGACCCGCTTACTTGCTGCATTTATATCCCATTTCTTCTCTTAAGAATTCAATAGGGTGTACAGGTGCCTCTTCAAAGTATTTTTAAAATACTCTCACAGCCCAAAATCACCTGTTCAAGGATAAGGTGGTAGCCCATGAAACTGAACCTCATAAAGCAAACCGAAGAGCAATCCATAGCTGGGCTGAACATGCAACATTTCTGAACATCTAAAACTGCTTTACGGTGAACTTCAGGCCTGTAAAGTCTGCTGCTGCAGTGCTTCCTAGGACCTGTAATCTTGCTATATCTTAGGCTCTGTAGAGAGACCCTTTTGAAGGACTATGACCCTCAGGAAGCAACATTATTGCTTCCTCTTTTTTTGGTACATAAACAGGAAGTAAGGCAGGACAAAGCCAGCCAGGCTCCAAAGTAGGCCCTGCTCCAGGCGAGCAGAATGTCGGTTTCTCTTTTTGTGGATCTATGGGCTAGAACTCCCAGAATTCTGCATGGGACCTTCCTGAAGAATTCTGGGAGTTGGAAATTAGAACAACAGCAACCATGATGACACACCTCTACAGGCTACAAGTATATCATGGACCAAAACCCCCCAAACAACTATTATTTTTTTTAAAGCCCCATGTAGAATTAGAATTCTAACGAGGGGTGATGAAGCACACAAAGGCTGTGGGATGGTTGAAGTCACTGGAAAATATCCGTGCTTTCTGCAGGTAGTAAGGGGGTGCTACCTGTGTTCAGATTAGAGGAATCCTTCCCAATTTTCAGTTCTATCGTGCTGCAAACTTGGAACTGTCTTTGTGCAAAGCAGTTCAGACAGTACACCCTGCCTGGAAGGCAGCAATCATTACTGTATCACATCAACTGTTCCAACCCAAATTAAAGAGGAAGACAAACTTTCCACAGAGATCTGATGCTCCAATTAGATTGTGGCAATCAGCTGAGAAATCTCCCTCTGATTATTACAGGAAATGATGCAAGAAAGGGTTTTTTGTTGTTGAATAAACCTTTTTTTTAACAGTTGAGGGTTAATGTTTGAAAACTGACACACACACACTACAATTCTGATTCTGAAATAAATCTCTGCCCCAATCTTCAGGATCAGGGCAGAGTTAAAATCTAAACAAGAGGCAGATCTTTGCTCTTGAAATTCTTCCTTTAAGACTACATTGCATGTTGCCCTCTTAATCTTATTGAGAACTCTTTGGCAAAGCTGTACATATGTTAAGTGGCTTAAAAGCTGCAGTTGAAACTGTGAAGTACACACTGTTCTGTCTAACCCCGAATTATGCCAACATAGTAGCCAGTGGAAAGTTAGCAAGCAACACAGGAGAGAAAAGAGGGATGGATAAGTGGAGATCTACAAGCTAACAACTGACAACAGCCTAACAGAAGGGATTTCCAGAAGAGGAACTATGAGCTCATGAATTATACCATGAGCTTTTGCATATGACATTTCAGAAATGTTTATCTTCTCCGTCTCATCTAAAAGACATGACATGACACTGGGGTGAAGGAGAAGGCAAACTAACAAAACTAGCTTGGCCTGGTCCTGGATAATAATTATCTCATCTTTCTACTTTCCTCACCACTTGCATGGATTAATTACGACCACACTTCAAAGTTGTGTCTTTACCGGGATGGGAAAAAGTCACGTCCAGCATCTCATATGTGGAGACAAAAAGGACAGTCCAGAAGGTTATTAATAAAAGACACAAACACAGACATTTCAGCTGGGAAGGAGGAGAAATTCCTGCCACCTCTTTTTAAAAGAGCCTTCCCTTTTCTTGGAAAGAGAGAAACCGCTGGACTCTACTATCCTTCTCACAAGCAAACAGAGCTCCATTCATATTCACTGGGACTCACAAGCAGCTTTCTTATTATAAACAGACCATCCAGCCAAGTTTAGTCTAGAGTAGCACTCCTGCAAGGGTTACAGGCAGGGTTTCTGCCTTAGTTCTGTGAGCTATTTCCTGGTGGCCTCCCAGCCAACTTACTAATCCACCCCACCTTTCTCAGCTTCCCAAACCAACTGTGTGTCCAGGTTGGCTCAATCCTTTCCACACCCTGCCTCCCGGGCACCTGACATTCATGCAGGCACATTTCAGGAAACAAGATTGCCATCTCCACCTTCCTAGCAAAAGTGGCCATATAGGGTTAAGTCCTGAAGGAGTGGAGGAAGATTCCACACTCTCTCTCTCTCTCTCTCTGTGATCTTATATTCAGTGTCCATTTCCATGATGCCCGAGGAACTTTTTCTTTTTTTTCTCCTTGCATCCATGTTCAAAAAGGCAGCGCCTAAGCTTCTCTTCTCTATTCCAGAAATCTACATGCATTGCCTGGATATTTGCATCAGAAATGCACTTTGCTTGTACTCTGCAATAATCAGGATCTACAGAGTTGAGCCTCAACCGTAGAGGCTGCTTTCAGCTTCAATGCAGCATCCAACCCTGGGAAGCAGCCCTCCTGAAGGGCTCCCTCCTGCCGAGGGGGTCCCTAAAGCTCTTCAGCTCCTGGTTCTGGAGGGGATGGGTTCAGGCGCTCGAAGCCGGAAAGCGGTGGGGAAAGGGACTCTTCTCCAGCGAGGCTCGGTCGGGTTCGGCCTCGGAGCGCAAACACAGCCGCACAACGGAACGCTTCGTGGTCCGGGCTGGAAAGCGCGGCGGCGGCGACCCTCGGCAGGCAATCCCCTCGCCGCGCTTCCGGAAAGGGAGAAGAAATCCGATTCCCTTCGCGCTGACTCACCCCCTCCGCCGGAGCAACGCCGGCCCGTAGCAAACAATGGGGAAACGGGGCATCCGCAGACCGCGCGCCTCTTGGGCGGGTATTCAGGACTCATAGCTAGCCACGATTTTAACGAGGGGGGGGAGGATGGAGAGGAGGGGGATAAAGCACAATGAGGACGACGTGACATTTCGTGTCGCGCAAAGGCTTCCGTCTGGTCTGCAGCTCCCGGTGGAGGCGATGCGGGTCCCCACCGCCCGATCTCCCTCCCTCTCTCCTTATTCCCCCCCCCCTCCGGTAAGCTGTGCGGGCTGGGAGGCAGTGGCATCGCCGCTGCAGTGCGCCAAGCCACGCGGAGGGGGATAAAGCACAATGAGGACGACGTGACATTTCGTGTCGCGCAAAGGCTTCCGTCTGGTCTGCAGCTCCCGGTGGAGGCGATGCGGGTCCCCACCGCCCGATCTCCCTCCCTCTCTCCTTATTCCCCCCCCCCTCCGGTAAGCTGTGCGGGCTGGGAGGCAGTGGCATCGCCGCTGCAGTGCGCCAAGCCACGCGTCCGAGCCAGCCTTCTCTTCTCTCTCCCACCCCCACCGCCGCTGC